ATACAACACAATTTTATTTTAAAATTCTTTGCTACGTATATAACACTGCTTAGCTTTAAGAAACACCACAAACATTAAAAACACAATAATTACATATCTCAGAAACAATGCTCCGAATGCACTTCCTTTCCAAACAATGCTATAAGAATTAGTGTTACAAAAACAACTACAATTACAACTAAAAGTTAAATTTGAATCAATACTGTTATTTTTCATAATATACTTACAATCCTAGAATTCCGAGAAGCCAAATACCAAAATATGGTTTCATTCCTCAGTAGTACGATTTAATGGGTTGGCCTCAGTAGTACGGTTCAATGGGCTCGCCTCAGTAGTACGGTTCAATAGGCTGGCCTCAGCAATACGATTCAATGAGCTGGGCTCAGCAGTGATAGGACTAAGTCCCCTTCCTTCAGTCCCTTTCGGGCGCTCCGCGGCTTCAGCGTGAACTAAGAGATTCATGTTCACGGAGAGGTTGGGTCAGGTGATCAATCTGGTCTGGGCCACACTTGCGATTCTTCCTTCGTTGTTCTGCAAGTGAAGTCACCTCCAAATTGGGACAGTAAGTTATAGGTTTTTATTGAGTGAGCTGCCATCAGTGGGCTCCTCCTACTCAATTTGTCACTACTCCCAAATTTGGGCTCGGATCTTACTCAACAGATTCTTTTGAAATTACCTTTGTTGAGCATTTTAAATTACTCTTGGGGAGACTTCTTCCATATCGCTGTAAATACCTTTTTTTTACCAGTCTGGTTAAAAGGCCCTAGGCTTTGATGTCTCGGAACTCAGGATATTTGCTTTCTTTGTAAAAGACTTCTAAAGATACAGTTTAAATTAAGGCTTTAAGTGAAGTCAGGACATTTTTCACGTAGCCCCAAAACAATGAGCTAGATAAGGAGATAAATCCTATCTTCTTCCTGAAACTGGCTAATGGGCAACCTTTACAAACATTCAAACTATTTCATTCAATATGACAAGGCTGTTTCAAAGCTCTCTGTATCATTTCAATTTTGCTGTTTCAAGCTTGAAACAAGTTGAAACAGTCTCAAAACGAAACTGCCAGCGAAATTTTGCACAGCCCTACTGCTAGTCTCTATCTTGGCTGTGGTGTAGATTGGAATATCTTTTTATCTTGTAACTTATTTGCTAGCTATCATATTTTCTGTCAAAGCTCCACTTTCTTTCCTTTTAATAGCAGTATTAGGAAACCATGGCGATCTGTGTGTTTGCTGTTAGTGGAGGGGTGTGTTTAGACATTAGTGCTGAAGGTAGCCACTATGAAATTAAGTTCTGATTTGTCACCCACTCCCACCCACCTTGTGTGATCTATACCCCATGTAAAGATTTCATGGAAGTTGCTTTCTGTGAATCTCAGGATATTAAAAGAGGGGAATTATTAAAAATGGATTCCTCACCATTTAAGCTTTATTGCCTAATTAGTTGAAATGGCTCACTTTTGGGTTGTAATTGTATTCACTTTCAAAATCTTACTATTGCAATTTTTCGTCCAACTCTGAGGGTGACTATGTAGAACTGTTTGTTTTGTTTTTTACTTGACCCTGTTCTTAACCACTTCTTATTACTCCTAGAAATAAGCATTTTGATTTGCACATGCATACATTTGGAAACATTATACAATACTAAGTATGTACTATTGCAACACAATTTAAATTTTCTATAGAGTAATTCACAGTAACATTTTAATATTAGTCTTTGGTTTATAAAAGCTTAGTCTGTGACTTAAGCAAATAATTTAAGCTGAATAGGTTGCTTTAGCAACTCTCTCTTCTAATGTATACTAAACAATGAATTCCAACTCCTATATCTACATTACAGAACACTAAATAAGTGTCTTGAAACTAAGTTTATCAGTAAATGACTTTTTTGATTGCAGGTCAAACACCAAGGCTTTCTAAAGTTAACCTTTTCACTTTATTCAGTCTCTGGATGGAACTCTTTCCTTCAGTTGAACATCTAAAGAAATCACAGGTAAAATATGTATTGTTTGTAGTTCAGTCAGCCTTTCTGAATAGATGCTACTTACTAGTTTATGCTGTAAATTTAGCTAGATGAGTGTGAGATCATTTCACACACATGGCAAGCATTTTCTCAGGCTGATAAGTTATAGCCAACAAACTTTTTCCAGTTACTTTTTAAAAACTATGAAAATTCCACTCGCATATCTCGCTCTACTATACGAGTAGAACTTGGAGAGGAACAGATTAAGAATGCTGCCTATTCATCACCTGAATTTAAGTGCAGTAACAGATTAGTGTTCTATTTATATCAGAGCATTGTTAAAGTTGAAGCATTATTGTGTGTGCTGTTCTGCTTGAAATACTAAGGAGCATATTAGAACAGAAAAGAACTGAAATGCCAGATGGACTGGAGTTGATAAACAGGTCAGAGGAGTAACAGAGAATTCTGAATACACAGCAGACTGGGTTTGCACTTTTCTTGATACACATCTTGGTATTTGCTGGTTGTCTTTTAACAAATAAGAAAGAAATAAGACAAACCACTGTTCAGAAAAAAATGGAGCTGAAACTCTAAGAGTTCTGTGGGACTACAGATATAGCACATATCTTTTTCAGCAAATAGGATGCTAGGGTTACCATGTGATAGTTTTTTGAGAATTACATATACTTTAATCCAAGTGCTTAACTTATATTAGGAGGTCATTCTCGGACCTATGAGGTAAGATAATCATAGAAAAGTAGAGTTGGAGGGGACCTCCATAGGTCATCTAGTCCAGCCCCCTGCCAGAGGCAGGACCATCCCTTTCCAAAACATCCTGCACAAATGGATTGTCTACCCTCTTAACAAAACTACAGAGTCAACCCTGACACAACACAAGACATAACATGCAAACATGCCACAGGGAAAATGTGTAGGGGGAAACCATGGTGGTCAATGTCCTGCTTCTGTAAAAGGTTGTTAGTATACACTCAAAAGAGATTTCCAGGAAGAAGTCCATGCCCCTCTCTACAGAGGAAGGCAAAGACCACCACAATCCATATCAGTTTGACCATGGGATAAAAATTCCTTTCTGACCCTAAATGGAGAGGCAAGACCCCCTAGCCAGGAACTTCAGCTTTAAGTCCCACCTGAAGCATTGGCAACACCCCAGTCAAAATCCCCAGCCTTGGTTGCATCCAACATGCAATGTCTCTGAAGAAAAGTCATTTTTAATGCCTCATTAAAAAACTAGGAGACTGTGGTGTCGATGCCTACACAGATGGGTCACTAACTGGCTGGAGGGCTGCACCCAGAGAGTGGTGGTGGACAGGTCTTATTCGACCTAGAGGGATGTGGGCAGTGGGGTTCCTCAGGCCCGCACTGTTCAACATCTTCATCAGCGACTTGTACAAAGGGGTAAAATGCACCCTGTTCAAATTTGCAGATGACACTAAGATGTGGGGAGAAGTGGGCACGCTAGAAGGAAGAAATAGGCTGCAATCGGATCTGGACAGGCTACCGGGTGGGCAGATGAGAACAGGGTGGGTTTCAACACTGACAAGTACTGCACCTGGGGAGGAAGAACCAGCAGCATACCTACAGGCTGGGGAACTCCCTTCTCGTCAGTACAGAGGCAGCGAAGGATCTCGGAGTCATTATTGAGGCCAATATGAACATGGGCCAACAGTGGGGATGCAGTCAGACAGGCCAACTGCACCTTGTCATGCATCCACAAATGCATCTCATACAGGTCCAAGGAGGTGATCCTCCCCCTCTATGCGACACTGGTTAGGCTGCAGTTGGAGTACTGCGTCCAGTTCTGGGCACCACACTTAAGGAGAAATGTGGACAACATGGAGAGGGTCCAGAGGAGGGCCACCCACATGATCAGGAGTCAGCAGGGCAGGCCCTACGAGGCAAGGCTAAGGGACCTGAACCTGTTCATCCTCCACAAGAGAAGGCTGAAGGGGGAATCTAGTGGCCGTTTACAAACTAGTCAGGGGGGACCAACAGGCATTGGGAGAGTCCCTGTTCCCCCGATCACTCCCAGGAGTGACAAGAAATAACGGTCACAAGTTAGCAGAGGGTAGATTTAGGCTAGATATCAGGAGGTGCTACTTCACTGTCAGGGCAGCTAGGATCTGGAACCAACTTCCAAGAGAAGTGGTCCTGGCTCCTATCCTGGGGGGTCTTTAAAACGAGACTGGATGAACACATGGCCATGGTAATTTGACCCCAGTACTCTTTCCTGCCATGGCAGAGGGTTGGACTTGATGATCTGCTCAGGTCCCTTCCAACCCTACCAACTATGAAACTATGAAAAACCCCTGGCATAGGAGTGAGGGGGAAGGGGGTGAATTTTCCCCCTAGCCCCATGAAGCAACCAGGAAAGTCGAAAAGCATAGGAAATTCCCATGGTAGATCCTCCCTGACCAGTGCCTGTCCAACCTATTGAACACTTCCAATGATGGAGAGTCCACAACTTCCCTAGGCAGTCTAGTCCACTGCCTCATTGTTCTAACAGTGAAGAAGAAAATGCAATATCTCAGTTGTGGTAGACAGAAAAAAATATTCTGTCTTGTTAAAAGGAAGTATTCATGGCGTCTCCTGCCGTCCAGCAATGGCTCACCCAAATGGATCTTGAAAGTATGATCTTGTCAGTAGAGCAGAGTCTTTCTCTTTTTAAATCTCAAACTTCCTTGGATAGCTATTGAAAACTCAGTAGAGAGAGGTTCTTAGACATATATTTAAAATATATATTTGTCCTGTGTTTTCTAGCCTTAAAGCTTGAATATGTTGATGGTAGTGGGGAAAAAAGGTACATAACTAATACAACTATTCTCCTGATTAATTGGAAAATGTTTGGGTGTCTCCAGTTGGAAATGATTTTTATGAACTTGCTATAATAGAGTTGCTTCAAGTGGTCCTTTTATGATTTTTTGTCTTTTTTGTCCTTTTTATGATGTTTGTGAATTGTTTTATGCTTTTTAAAATAATCTTTTTATATAAACCATGCCCATATACCGCCTAACAACACAAGAGAAGTCTTTTAGAGTACTAAAACTTTACTCAAATGTAAATATTGTTTCTTCAGTTAAACTGCTTGAAGAGGAAACTGTACATTGCCCAATTTGAAAACCGAAGAGAATAAATAAAATGCAGCCCATGCATCATCTAGGACAGGAAAAAGAACAGAAAACTAATGAATAGTAATCTGACCCAAATCATACAGTTCTGGGTTACCTCAGGATTCAGATTTCCTTAAGCTGATTTAAGATGGAGGTTTCCATGCTGTAGTCTATAGATTACAGTAGACCCTCCATTTCAATTAAATTTGATAAGATGGTGCATCTGTGATAAATTGACAGGGGTCTATTAGTCAAAAAATGTGGGAACCACTGTTGTGTACAGTATTCAGACAATTGATGGAACACCTTACAAAATTCAAGTCCAGATTCAAACATAAAGTGATTAAGTCCAGGAGGGCAGGTACCCAGGTTGCATCTGAGACTTTGGTACAGTTTTATCTATGATGTCTATGAGAACCAAAATCACCTCATAAATCTAAGGCAGACAAGGTTCTTTGGTTAAATTTGATATCAGATTTACCCAAAAAACCTCATCTGCCTGTGTCCTTAGACCAACATAGCTACAACCTACACCCCTCATAAATCTAAGGCATTTGTGATCTGTTTTCGATTGTCACTGTTGTTGGAATACATCACAGGCTTATTAGACAAATATCATTTTTCTAGGCTGTCCCTTCTTTTTCCTTTTTTCCCCTCCTAAGTCTTGAGGATGCAAAAGCACCAAATCTTCCTTGCATAATACAAAAGGATTTTTCCTAATTCTGTAGCAGCCTCCGTAGAAGTTAAGTCCCGCAGATGAAAGGCAGAACTATTCTCTTCCAAACATTCTTCTCGTCCTTGATAATCTGATTTAAGAGGGCTGAACTACATTAAATCTCCCATATCATAAAATGAACCCCTAAAGCTTGTGTCACTGTGGGCAGTCACTAGCATTGGAGGCTAGATTTCACACATTCACCTTTGACAGCCTTTTTAGCTTCTGTGGCTGCAAGATGAACCTTACCCAGGGAGACTGACTGAAACAAATTTACTAAATTGTACCGACTCTTATAGGCTGATCATCCCCTGAAATTTCATGTGAAGAATATAAATGTCTGTAAATGTAGTATTTACCAGACGTTCTTCATTTACAGTCTGTATTTGAGTGTCAGTGTCTAAAATGGTACTGAGAAATCTGTTTCTACCCTCATCAGATTACTCTGACCCCAAATACAAAGAAGTGCAAATGGGAAGGTAGGCAAACCCCTGCTATGTGGAACACCATGCGAATGAGCCATATATTCAGTTTCTGTCTCAAATAATTATACAGTTAGCGAATGAGCTATATACAATTTCTGTCTCAAATAATTTAAATGGTGCGTGCTTGTTTCTTTTCAATGCAGGTAAAGAAGGCTGGTCTTGTTGTGGTGAAAAACATGAAAATTGTTGGTCTACATTGCTCCAGTGCAGAATTGCATGCTGGTCAAATTGCTCTTATTAAACATGGATCAAGACTTAAAAACTGTGACCTTTATTTTTCCAGAAAACCATGTTCTACTTGTTTAAAAATGATTGTAAATGGTAAGTTAATGGTTATGGTACAGGTGAGGCTAATATTATTTGATTTACTGTGCAGAGAAAGCTGTTTGAATTGTCCCATTTTTGTATGCATTTGTCTCCTTTAATTGGGGGAACAATTACTAAGTGTTTCAGTTCTAAGTGTTTCAGTTCTGGAGTCGATGATTCAGTAGTAATTCCTACTGAGCCAGCAATGTCTTGGGGCCAGATTAAAAAAAAAAAAAAAAATTACCTCAGTGAAGTTGAGATCATTTTGCCTAATATCTAGGTATCCAGAACTGAAATTCAAAAACCTGAGTTGGACATTCAAGATCTCTATACCTGGACTGGAGAGACATAAGCACTTTGGATAGGGATTCACAACAGCCAGCACTCTGAACAATACAACACAGACAGCCCAAAAGAAGTTTGGCTGTAGGGTAGGGTGGAGTGTCTTGAAATCCTATCAGATTTAGGCAGAAGCTAGGAGATTCCTTGCAACCCCAAGTTAAGCACATCTCCTAATTTGCATCCAGGACTCCCTGTCTTAATGTAATCACTGAAGTCATGAGGCAGTATAGCCCACCATTTGTAGGGGTAGAGAGGAGAAGATCAGCATTTGCTCACTGGACTAAGAGTCTGAGGCCTTGTGGAGGAAGTTAGAAACCTGGGTTCTAAGCCCTCCTCAGCTTGCAGAGGTTGAAATCCACATCATTCAACTCCCAACAGAATCCCGTAAGCCAAGGGCGGGCAAAATACAGCCTGCGGGCCAGATCCGGCTCACCAGGCAATTTCATCTGGTCCATGGGCCCACCAACAAATTGTACCCCACCCTGCCCATGTGCCTTACTCCCACCCTCATGGGTGGAAATGCCCAGTCTAGCCAGTAAACAGCTTCTAGGCAGGGCTGCTGCTGCCACTGCAGCTGCCAGGGGGCCTGCTTGGCTTCCCTGTTGTTCTGCACACTCTGGGCAGCAGGTAGGGAAGCAACAGGGAAAGTGGGAGCTGCAGCTGGGTGGAAGTACAGAGCATGGGGCTGGCAGCAGCACAGAGCCTGTACCAGGGGGGCAGTGGGAGTGCGGAGCTTAGCTGGGCGGGGGGTGGGTGTAAGGGAAGGTGAGAGAAGGTGTGCGGACCCACCACAGACTCCCTTTCATGGCGTGCAGCTCCCAACGCCGGCAGTAGCAGCACCAGCAGGCAGTGGGCATTCGGAGCCCATGCAGGTGCTGCTGCCCAGTGGTGCACAGCGCCAGCCAGCGCTGCATGTGGTGGCAGGGAGCACAGTCCAGCTGGCCCGCCTCTACCAGCATGGCAGGGGTGGATGTGGCAGCTTGCTCCATTCCACAGGGCTTCCCCTGGTGGCCTATGAGTGCCAGGAGCTGAATGTCCACTACTTGGAGCCCTGCACAATGGAGGTGGGCTGACTGGACTGCAGTTCTTGCCACCAAGTACAGTGCTGGCCAGAGCCATGCACTGCCAGGTGGCAGTGCCTGTATGGGCCCTGAGCGCCCGCTGCCTGCTGGTGCTGCTGCCGCTACTGGAGTTGGGGGGGATGTGTGGGGGGTCTCCCTACCCTCCCTCACACCTCACAAACCCCACACACCCACACCCTGCCCCCACAATGCCCCCACATATACAGCCCCAGCAAACCCTATTGCCCCCATACACACAAACCCTCAACCCCACCCTGCCCCACACAGTATACAAGAATAATACTTTATTTTTTAATTATTATGTAATCAACTCTGTATACAGTATGCAAACACAAATTGTAACAAAAATACGTTTTGTAACAAAATTAAAATATGTTATAGTAGGTGTTTCATTTTTAGTGTATAATTTGGGGGGTGGTTTTCTGGTTCCCAAATGGCAACCCTCCCCTCCCAATAGGAGTACTTCCAGGGGGCAAGGGGTACCTGGGAGTACTTCTGGTGGCAAAGGTCAGAGGTTATGGGGCAGGGCTTCTGGTCCCAAGATGGTGACCAGGGGGCAGGGCACCTGTCAAGGAGCAGGGCCACCCTTGCAGCCCTCAACAGCTCGCCAAAACTCATTAAGCAGCCCTCCAGCTGAAGTAATTGCCCCCCCCGCCCTAAGCTGTAGGTTATAGGGTGGGATGGAGGTGTTCTTCATCTCCCTGGTTGAGGCTAGCCCTCTGTGTGGACAGAAATGCAAGTACCTTCACTTCTAGGCTCTGGGCAAAAAATATGGCTACTCCTCATTCTTTTAGGCGTGACATGCCCAAAGTATGCCTATCAGATTGAAGCCTTTCAGGGGTGTGCCCAGTCTCTACTAGTTCCTTCGTGCCTCTTGGGTCTGTCACTGAGAAATTGTGACATCCTCTCCATACTCCCCAGTCTTACCTGGATCTGCTTGTACATGCCAACCTCATAAATGAGATGGTAAAATTGTCCTGATGGCATCTCTTGCCTCCAAAAGCACTAGGGAAGCATCAATAAACATTCTTTGTGAATCCTAAGTGACCTCAGGCTTGATTTAGGCCTGCATGCCTATGGCTCAGTCAAGATGGTGACATTTCTGAGCACGTACTATGCTTATATTTTAGGCACAGACATCAGTTTTCAGCAGAAACTTATGGTACTTGGGGACTTCTCAAGTACCTAAACATTTAGGAAGGTTTTTCTGAATCACTCGGTTTGTTTTAAGTGGGTAAGTTCTGCCTAAATAGCAGCTGTTTAAAAACCATGTTAGTCATGTGATCCTGACTGTCCTGAAGTTAGGTGGCCCTATGAGGTTCATATTTTGGAGTAAGATATAAAATGAGGTTCTGGCTGTGGATGCTGTTGTGATGCTCTTAAACCTGACATCCCGGTCAATTTCCAGCCTAAGTAACTTTCTGCTCTTTTACCTGTTATACTTCCTTAGGGGTCCATTTGCATGTTAATAGATTCATATATTCATCTGTAAGGTGGAGACTGGTCTTTTATGTAGAGCTGTGTTTCCCTATGGGAAGTAGCATTATTATCAGTGGCTGCTTTGTCATGTTCTAGTAATATGGTTACATCCATAAAATATACAGAAAGGAAGAGAGTCCTGCTCTGAAATGCTTACATTTGTAGAAAACATTCAGTTTCCATCTGTCACAGATGGGGTAACTTAACCTTTTGGTTGGTAGAGAACCGTGTAACGTGATCAGAAGCATAACTTAAATTATCTTGTTTTTGCAAACCCCCCAAGATTTGTCAGCACATCCATTACACGCATGCACAGAACAACTTCCATTCTGTTTTCTAAATGGGTTGAAAGGTAGTGGCTTAGGTTAATGTTGGAGTCTAAGGATAAGAAAACTGTTGCATACTCCACTGGATTTATACTTCCTTCTAATGGGGTGTATCTTTTGTTCCAGCTGGAGTGAACAAAATTTCATATTGGCCTGCAGATCCTGAAGTCAGCTTGCAAATTGAAGTGTCCAACCCTACCACTACTGAAGATGCAAAGCTAGATGCCAAAGCAGTGGAAAGACTGAAGTCAAATAGTCGAGTTCGTGTGTGTGTCTTGCTTCAACCTTTGGTGTATTATATGGTGCAGTTTGTAGAAGAAACCTCTTGCAAATGTGACTTCATTCAAAAAATTGCAAAAACTCAACCTGGGTTTAATACTGATTTTTATGCTGAATGTAGACAAGAAAGAATAAAAGAGTATGAAAGTTTATTCCTAATTTCAAATGAAGAAAGGCACAAGCAAATACTGAGGACTATAGGGCTGGAGAATCTCTGTGAAAATCCATATTTTAGCAATCTTAGACAAAATATGAAAGATCTTATCCTGGTTTTGGCCACAATAGCTGCCAGTGTTCCAGCCTTTGAACACTTTGGATTTTTCTGTAATGGATCCCAGCAGACACGTGAAATGTACCATCAAAGCTTGCCCCAAGAAATTGCAAGGCACTGTATGATACAAGCTAGGTTACTGGCATACCGAACAGGTGAGTTGTTTCATTAATGCAAGGAAAGCAGGTCTTGTGAGAATTGTAGGACTGAATTGGGGACTCTAGTTATGTTCCAAACACTTAGCACTTAAGTGACTTGCTCAAGGTCACATACAGTAAGTGTTTCAGTTTCTACAGCTGTACAAAGGAGATAAGAGGTTACTTCATGAGGATATGCATTAATATTTACAAAAGGCTGTGAGCTGCTAAGATAGAAGGAATTATCACAGTGCAGGTATTACACCTGCATGATACTTGTATAGCCTTGTTATCCACTGTGCATGATTGCTGTCTCAGAAGATACAATATTTAGACTAACAGAGCCTCTGCAAGCATCTTTGTATAAACACCTGGTACCTACCAAGAGGAGTAGGTAATTGAATAGCACTGTGACAGTATTTTAGTATTGTGTGTGTGTGTATTTAAATAGGAACTATATTTACAGTATTATTCTAGAGCTGTCTTACCCATTAGGAGAATATTACCATCCTGAATGGCCCTTAGGTCTAGGAGAGAATATTCCTTGGGTAAAAGACACCTTTTTTTTGTTTTGTTTTTTGGGGGGTTTTGGTTTTTTTTGTAAAGTCCTATCATTTTTAAACTAGGGTGCTCTCCTATTCCTTGTCTCTCCTAATAACTCCCATAGAGTCTATTTAAGCTCAGCATCAGTTTTGATTCTTATATATAAGATTGGCTTCAAAAAGCCCAAACTATTCCTCCTCCTGGACATCATACCTCATAACCCTCTATGTTCCCTCCATGCTTCTGCAAGCACTGAGCGCCCCAAAGCATATTTTGTATAAACTGCTATATTTGTGGACATCTGCAAGCCATGTGGCATTCTTGAGGATGTAGTCCTAATTAAGTAGTGTTTTAGTGTATTCAATAAACAATAATGTAGACCTTCAAAAGACGAGGTTAAGCAGCTTCTACCTGCTCTGTTTATGCCATATATTCAACATCAAATGGCAAAATAAAATTATCAACACAGATTCTTCAAAGGGCAAACTTACCAAGTGTGATAGCCCTACTCAGAGGTGACTGCGCTGGCTAGGCCATCTGAGCAGATTGGAAGGTGGATGCATGCTCAAGGACATGCTATACAGGGAACTACGAGAGGGAACAAGAACAACAGAATGTTCCAAGCTTCGCTATGAATACACATGCAAGTGAGATATGAAGGCATTTGGAATTGATCCTGGCCAATGGAAACCTTGGCAGGCGATCAGAACAAGTGGCGTCATGGTCTCTACCAGGAACGATGGGAACAAGTGGTGTCGTTGTCTCTACCAGGGATGATTGAAGTCTATGACAGGAATTGGCTCCAACAGCTTGAGGAGAAACAAGTTCATAAAAAGCAAGCAGCTCCCAAACCATCCATCCATGACACATACATTTGCAACCACTGCCACAGGTCATGCAATTGGATTGGACTATTCAGTCACACAAGGCACTGAAACCATCTACAACATAGGCTGCAATATCCACCGTCTCTTGCAAATGAAAGGATTGCCAACAAAAGACCTTGGGGAGATCGCTGTAATAGATTTTCTGTACAGACCTGCATAGCAGTTAGAGGAAAGGAAATGCCCGCCTTCCTTCTACAAATAAAGCACTAGTCCCTGAGTCCAAATGTGGTACTGACTTAAGCAGGTATAATTCTCCTCACTATTGAGCACTTGACCTGCTTGCCGTCAAGCTGATTTTGACTGCTCCCTGGAATGAGACCTGTTTCTGTCATTTGCATGTTATTGGAGCAGAAAGATTTTTAACATTTCCTTTTGTCTTATTCCTAAACATTCTCAAAGTGAGACCTGAAAGTGCCTCCTGAATAGCAGAGGGAATTCCTTCCTCCCACTCTTAGGAGTAGTTCTGGGAGCACCTCTGCAGAAGCAAAGGCTCTTCAGTAAGTCAGGGTAGTAAACAAAAATTGTCAGCAAGTGTTACTGCTGTCACCCCTTTTTGTGCCTCTGCACTGATTTCTGAATTGAAGAATGATGGGCGCATTTAATTATATAGCAATTGAATGATCTCAAGATGCTGCAAAATTTGGGCACATCCAGATGTGCGTTGATGTTTGGTTCCCCTGGGACAACTAGCAGTGGCGCACCTTGCACCACAGCTGCTTGTCCCCAGGAAATGCCTGTGCCACGCACGCTTTGGCATGCAACAGGTTGCCCTAGGTGGGGTAGGGAAGGCTGGGGCCAGCATAGTGCTGGCCCCCTTACCTGGGGGCCTCCCGGGGCTGCAGCCACTGTGATTAGGCCACACAGAACCTGGCTGGCAGTGGAACATGGCTCCAGGCAGCCTGGCTCCACTTCTCAGCAGCGCATGCTCAGGCAGCATGCCCTTGTAGCAAGGAGAACACCAGACTCTGCCGTATGTGGCACTGCAAACATGTTTGTGGTGCCACATACTGCACTACTATACTCGTCTGGATGTACCCTTTGTGACTAGTGTTCCTTTGTGATGATAAAATACACTTATCCCTGGACTTAGTAGGCAAGAGCCAGTTGGAACTCTCTGTTCCTATGCTTAAAACAAGCAATGCACTTTTGTCCTTTCAGCATGTTGTTCAAGAGCCACAGTGTGAATTGTCTTGAAGTTTATGGTGTGTGCTCTTAAAGGTCCCTCTGAAAATCTATTTACCTCAGTGAAGGGCCAGTTCTGCTCTCGGTTCTGTAGTTACATCTGTTGAAGTTGGTGGTAGCTGCCAAGTTCTAAGACTTCTTAGAAACCAGGCTATGTATTGAGGTGCCTAAATATAAACTATCTTCCATGTTTTGGGGGTGTTGGTTATAGCCGTGTTGGTCTAAGGACATAGGCAGACAAGGTTCTTTGGGTAAACATGATATCTTTTATTAGACCAGCTAAATAGTTGAAAAAAAATTGTTCTTTCCAAGCTTTCAAGCACAAACCCCCTTCAGACAGAGAGAGTCTGCTGGTGTGTGTGCTCTCCTCAGTGGAATAGAAGCCAATATAGAAAATGCCAGTCTCACCTACCTGTCTCATACCTATTTTCCAGATCCATACGAGCTGGCGCATGTCTACAAATAGCGGCAACCATCAATCCTCCTGGATCGTGGTGTATGCATGAAGGCCACCCAGACCTTTGATGCATATGCCTGGGGAGGAATTTTTGGAGGAGTGGAGGCTGCCCAGACCTTCCATCCTCCCTTTGGGCCACTGAGACAGAATCCAAAGACCAGGCTGAGTCCAGATGTTTGGTGACCCCATGGCTGTAGTTGTGTAAGCATCTGGGAATCAAACCCAGGTCTACCTATGCGGAACCACAGGAGGCTCCCCTGCAAATAGCCACAGTGCACACCTCTTTGTGCCACAGTGCACACTTCTGCTTGTGTGCTTTGCAGCGGGACATGTCCCCCTGCTCCATGTGCTGCAGGGGGGCTGGCTGGGACATCCCCTGCGCTAAGCCATCCCCTGCGCTGAGGCACCCTGTTCCCTGGTTGGCCAAGGAGTGGCACATGGAGTTGGGGGAGCAGGCAGCCTAGAGCTGCCTGCTCCCTCATCTCTGTGCACTGCAGAGTCCCTACGCTGAGGCACCCTGTCCCCCAGCCAGATGCTCCCCACCTGGCTGGGACACAGGGTGCCTCAAGACAGGGGACTAGGCAGCCTGGGGCTGGCTGCTCCCCTCTCTCCATGTGCCTCAGTATGGGAGCTTCACTGCAGAGCCACTACACTGAGGCACACTGCAACCCAGCCAGCCACAGAGGAGCTGGCTTGGGTTCAGTGTGCCTTGAAACAGAGGAGCAAGCTTCCTGCTCTCCCATGCCAAGGCACACTGTGCCCCAGCCAGCTGCATGGGGTGCAGTGTGCCTCAACATGGGGGCTCCATAGTGAAGCCTCTGTGCTGAGGCATGTGGAGACAGGACCAGCCCAGGGCTGCCTGCTCCCCTGTCTTGGGGTATGCTGCGCCCCAGCCAGGCAGGGTATGGCTGGCTGGAGCACAGGATACTTCACCACAGGGGGCTCCACAGTGCATGGGAGGTGGGAGAGCGGGCTGCCTGCTCCTCCATCTCTGCATTTGTCCTGGTGCAGCACTCACTACTTTGGTGTGGGTTGTGCTGCTTTTTTTTTTCTGGGGGTTTTTTTTTTTTTCTACCGAGAGAACCTGGTAGCAAATTTTGCCCTGGCACTGCAAATTAGCAGTGCTGTACACTGATTAATATACAACTGTCTAACCTGCTCGTGAAAACTTACAAGGGTGGAGAATCCACAGTTTCTCTAGGTAGCCTGTTCAAGTATTTAATCACCCTCATATTTAGACAGTTCCTCCTAATCTCCAACCTAAATTTCCTCTGCTGCAGCATAAGGCTACCTTATGTCCAACTGAGCCTGTTTTCCTTCTGAATCCTGCAACTAGGTCCTTATCTTATGTGGAAAATAGACAAGAAGTCTACAGCACCAAAACAGACAAGAAGTCACTAATGTAGTCACTAATCTGCAGTAGCACCAAAATAGACAAGAAGTCACTAATGTAGCAGTAGTTTTGCCACGTGATAAAGATGGGATGCAAGAGGAGCAGAGAAGGTGAAACCTCTTAAATTGGCTAATATATGGGAATGACTAGGATATATGTATAAAGCACATTATCACCTCGTTATAACAAACCCCTGTGGGACTGGGAGAAAGTTTGTTAAAAAGGTGTTAACTAACCCTGTTACAGTAAACATGCTCATTGTATTAAAAAATTGGTTCCTTTTACTGGTTTTTTGGGGGGTGGTTATAAACAGGGCTCATTATAATGAATTTGTAGTGTAAACCCCTTTTTATACCTGATAAAGTATTTCGTTGGGGAAAGTCCTTTTCTTAAGTGGTGGAGTACTTGGAGGGTGTGGCTCTCCTGCTTCTACAGCACTCTTGAGTACCACTGAATAGCAAAGCCTTGCCTATCTGCTCCTGCCTCCTGCATACCAGAACCAGAATTGCAATAGCCATAGCAGTGGAGGGCACCCTAATGGTAACTTCACTGCCGCTTTTCCAAGTTTGATGTATGTGGAGCAAGAGCAGGTGGACAGGGCAGCTGCTTGATGGCCCTCCCATGAGTCCTGCAAAACCAGTGTAGATATAGTCTGACTGGCACTTAGGAATGCTGGGAGATAATTAATTGGAACAGCACCATCTAAGACAGGGGTGGGCAAAATATGGCTCATGGTCTGGATCTGACCCGCTCAGGGATTTTGTCTGGCCCATGGCAAGTCCCTCAGTCTTGCCCAGCTGAGGTGCAGGGGCAGCCTGGTCTGTGGTGCACGCAGCCAGTCCTGCCACCCCCAAGGCACTCAGCGGGGCTGGGGTAGCGCAGTAGCCAGAATTGCTTCCAGCAACCCTGGCGATAGCAGCTCCTTCCAGCTTCTGCCACTGCTGGACCCAGCCCTACTGCCCAGGCACCCCAGCCCTTCCACCCCTCACCCACTGCCAGGGTGGGACCCTACATGGGCAGGGCGCACAGCCAGGTGGCTGGGTTGAGGCTGCAGCCAGGTGTGGAGTGATGGGAGCAGGATGGGCAGGTGAGGCCAGGGCTTAGATTGCAGGATGGTGAAATGTGGGGCCAGGCCCAGGGCACAGCAACAATCTGCTGCCCTCATGTCCCTGGGATGGGCATAGGTTCTGCAGGCAGGGTCATGCAGAAAGTGGGTTGCAGTTCTGCCCCAGGCCTTAGCCCCATGCTTTTACCACCCCAAGATCCCGGGTCCAGCCCCAGATGCAACTCCCTGCCCATCTGTGGCTCCATTCCATCCTCCTAGCTGCGTACCTTGCCTGCGTGGGTCCCTGTGGAGCCAGTCTCCATGGAGACCCAGAGATCACAGGGTGGTAACAGTGTGGGACTGGGGCCCAGGGTAGAGCCATGATCTGCTCCCTGCATGCCTCTGCCCACAACCGGCACCTATCACAGGGGCATGCGGGGAGCAGATCATGGCTCTGCCCCAGCCCTGCACTGGCACTGCCCCACAATCCTGGCCATGCCTGCCTGCCTGTCCCGCTCCCAGGTGCTGCTTCCCACCTGCCCACGGCTTCATCCCAGCCACCCAGATGAGGATGGAGCAGAGCCGCTTAGGGAATTTTGATGAGTTGTTGTGCGGGGCTGAGCGGGGTGCTTTCCTGGCCCACAACAGATCAAAAAAACTCCCTACATGGTTTGTGGGCCCAAATAATCACCCACCCTGGTCTAAGATAACAAACACTGCAAAGGGAAAGTTTCATTCAGACCTTCCTATGTAGCGTGAAAGAAAGAGCCTGCAAAAGGCTGATGAATTCAAATTTGATTCTCTACCTGGCTTTTAAAACGTTTGCTTCCAAATTAAACTTATTTTGATTATTTATTCTTTGAAGAGTTTTCCAGTGAGTTTCTGCCATCCAATAAAATGTTCTGGTGCAGTGGACTGAATTCCCAAAGCCATTGACATCTATGGATGTTAGCAAGTATTTCTTTATAGCAGCTTTCAAAAGAGACCAGTATTTATAGTTCCCCACACTAGAATATTAAATTGCCAAACAGAAGGATGGTTGGCTTTGGTCTCAAGAAACAGGATCAAGTCAGGAGATCTAAGTTCTGTTCCTGCTTTCACCATTAAGTTGTGCCATAGACCTCTGTATCTTTGGCCAGTTTCTTAATCTTTACTCCTTGTTTTCCTTAACTGCATAATGTGGATAATGCCTCTCAGCAATGCTGTGAGGTTTATTTTATTAATAACTTGCTGAAGTACCCATTCTTTGCCTGGGTTATCTTTGTAATTACAGTGTTTGTTTATTATCAGAGAACTCAGTATAACCTATCTAGGTAACAAATATTGTTTATTTTTAAAGAACATAGTGCAACATGTTTAACATTTAATATTTAACATGGAGCAAAAAAAGGCAGGCGTCAGTATAATAATGACAACTGAGTTGAAAAAAACCCGCAAGCATCAATATAATAATGACAATTGAACAGAATTCACTGCATCCAAAATGGAGGGATACCAGTTTGTTATCTGAGAAGCAAAGTAATCCCAGTCAATGGAAGCCCCCAAAAGAGTTGAGTGAAAAATAACCCTCCTATAATTTTCTTCAGGTGGTATTCAGTGATTTTTGGAAGGTTTAGAGTAAATGGGACCAGCCATTCTCAAGTTATAAATGAACATACATACAGACAGACATACACTTCATTTTTTTATATATATAGATAGATAGATAGATTAGAAAGTACTTTGCCACTTATTTATTTCTTCTAATACATTTTGTGTTTTAGAGGATCACAAAACAGGAGTTGGAGCTGTGATTTGGGCAGAAGGAAAATCTGTAAGTATGGAAAGCTGTCCCCTTTTCTCACTCTGGCATTTTGTGCATTTTAATTTTCTTAGCATTGGCTAATTGCTTGGCAAAAGAGAAGTTCATGCTTAGAGTTATAGAAAAACTGTATTATGTATACTTTCCGTTAACCCTAAATTAAATATTAGTTCATTATTAGGCTATCAAGGTGAATTAGCATAATTGATTGACTTAGTAAATACCACAGTGGTTTGGCCTCCCTTCTCATCTTTGTTAGGCTTCACAGGAACATCATTATAGTTTTTCAGGCATTCTTGCTAAAATGTTTTGTTGGTATTGCTAATCTGACAGGAGGTGCCTCTTAAACAGAATCACTATTCAGGTCTCCCTTAGAATGTCCAGAGAGTGTGGGTTTGTCTGACACATTCTCCTACAAATCTCTGCTGTAGTGCTGAACCTGTTTGTTTAGGTTTCTAGAAGAAATTTTGCAGCAAACAGCTGAATCAAAAATGCATTTCTCCTGTTTCAGCTTGCTTTTTTGGATCTAGCATGATGATCAGTGGCAACGCGTAGGGGGTGCATGGGGGCGCATGCTCTCGCCACTTAGGCAATGGGCAGAGGGGTCAGGCGGGAGCGCTGGTGCCACCGTGCGCGCGTGCCCCCCCCCGCAAGCGCTGGCTGATCGCTGCAGCCACTCCTGGAAGCGGACCCAGGGAGGAAGGAGGACCCAGGAAACTATAGGCCCGTGAGTCTTACCTCGGTCCTGAGGAAGCTTTTTGAAAGAATTATCCTGGCACATGTCCAGGAAGGGCCAGCAGGGGAGGTTATGCTCAGGGGCAACCAGCATGGGTTCATTAGGGGCAGATCTTGTCAAACCAACCTGGTGACCTTCTATGACCAGGTCACCAAGTCCTTGGATGCAGGTGTCGCAGTAGATATAGTCTTTCTGGACTTCAGGAAGGCCTTTGACACGGTCTCTCACCTCATTCTCAGTAAGAAACTAGGAGACAGTGGTGTTGATGTCTACACGGTCAGATGGGTCACTAACTGGTTGGAGGGCCGTACCCAGAGGGTGGTGGTGGACAGGGCTTATTCGACCTGGAGGGATGTGGGCAGTGGGGTTCCCCAGGGCTTGGTCCTTGGGCCCGCACTATTCAACATCTTCATCAGTGACTTGGGTGAGGGGGTAGAAAGCACCCTGTTCAAATTCGCAGATGACACTAAGATGTGGGGTGAAGTGGGTACGCTAGTAGGAAGGAACAGGCTGCAAGCGGATCTAGACAGGTTACAGGGGTGGGCCGATGAGAACAGGATGGGGTTCAACACTGACAAGTGCAGGGTAATGCACCTGGGGAGGAAGAACCAGCGGCACACCTACAGGCTGGGGAACTCCCTTCTCGCCAGTGTCGAGACAGAAAAGGATCTTGAAGTCATCATTGATGCCACAATGAACATGGGCTGACAAAGTGGGGACGCGGTCAGGAAGGCCAACCATACCTTGTCATGCATCCACAGATGCATCTGAAGCAGGTCCAAGGAGGTGACCCTCCCCCTCTGTGCGACACTGGTCAGGCCACAGCTGGAGTACTGTGTCCAGTTCTGGGCGCCGCACTTCAGGAGGGATGTAGCCAGTATGGAGAGGGTCGAAAGAAGGGCCACCCACATGTTCGGAGTCAGCAGGGCAGGCCCTACAAGGAGAGGCTGAGGGACCTGAACCTGTTCAGCCTCCAAAAGAGAAGGCTGAGAGGGGATCTAGTGGCAGTCTACAGATTAGTCAAGGGTGACCAGCAGGCATTGGGAGAGTCCCTGTTCCCCCAAGCACTCCCGGGAGTTACAAGAAACAAGGGACACAAGCTAGCGGAGGGTAGTTTCAGGCTAGACATTAGGAGGCGCTATTTCACTGTCAGGGTGGCTAGGACCTGGAACCAGCTTCCAAAAGAAGTGCTGGCTCCTACCCTGGGGGGGGCTTTAAAAAAAAGCTGGACAAACATCTGGCCGGGGTCGTTTGACCCCAGTACTCTTTCCTGCCATGGCAGGGGGTCGGACTAGATGATCTCCTCACGTCCCTTCTGACCCTACCAACTATGAAACTATAAGCGGCTGCAGCAATTGGCCATTGCAGCATTGGCCACTGGGGGAGGGAGGGGGGAAATCACATGCGCCCCCCCCCCCAACTAAGGCAGCACCAATCACCTATGATGATGATTCTCTACCAAGGTGCCTAGAGATCCCTTCAAGGGTGCCATAAGGTGCGCACACAATGTTATCACTGTTAGGTGTGCAAATGTGGTTCACAAGATAAACCTGGAGAATTCAAATAGGAATCCATAGTGTCAAAAGCATTCAGACCTGTTGTGGTCCTTTTGAGTTCTTTGCAACAGAAGACGTGCTTTATTATTTTTTGGTAAAAAAAAATGAGTGAAAGCTAAGTGCTGGCATTTTTCAAGTAGTGTCCCAAGCCTGTTTAGGGGTACCTTGAGTTTAAAAAGGTTGAGGACCAGGGATCTAGCATTCTCTGCTAGCACAAGATGCTTTCTGAGAGCCACAATGATTTATTGACTAGTATACTGCAGAACAGGTCAAGACTGCCACCAGAACTGTATTCACAGAGCTCTTGCATCCTTACAAATCAGTTGCTTTTTGTTCCTCCATGGAAGGTCCTATATAAATGCTAAGTGTTTTATTCTCATTTACTCTTCTATGCTGGAATTATTTTAAGTTGTTTCTATGTTTATTTTTATTACTCTTAGTGCATCAGGATAAGTAGTCAAATTTCCCTCGGGGGCTAGTATACCCTGATACATTTTTAACATCATTTGCCTGCTAGAAGCTGATGATCATCAGATACATATCAATGTACTGGGCACTTCTAGTGTCAACCGCTATTTTTTTTAACATATCAGTATGCTGGACATGAAATTCATCTTCATAAAATGGCAGAGTGCAGAAAGTTGTCCTGTTTTGGCCTTATATATTTTAATATGGCCTAATAACTGAATCATTACTGCCACCATCAGTATTTCTTAGAGGAGGAAGCAGCTATTGAGGTCTTATTACATCATATAGTTTATAAGGTGCCTGTCTGGTGCCTTGATTCATATATTATCTTTATAGCAAACCCCTACAAAAATATAATGTTAGCAAAATTTGATCACTCTTATAGTTGGTACAACTTGGCACGAACTGATCAGACATGGTTACTGCACTAAATATAATAACTTTTTTTCTTGATACTTTGCAGATGTTTAAATTGAATATTAAACCAAACCTGATGGTTTGCTTAATCTTTTTCAGAGAAGTTGTGATGGGACAGGAGCTATGTATTTCATAGGCTGTGGTTATAATGCCTTTCCTGTTGGATCTGAATATGCTGATTTTCCTCATATGGATGATAAACAAAAAGATCGCGAAATCAGAAAGTTCAGATACATTGTGCATGCTGAGCAGAATGCCTTGACATTCAGGTAATAGATTTTTTGTCATTGAAAAAGAATGAGAAAGTTCAGAAATGATCCGAAGACAGGTGCAGAGCTCAGTACTGTGATTTATCGAAGGTGTTTTGTATGGTCAAACTCTGACTTACACCTTTGTAATTACACACACACACACACACACACACACACACACACACACACACACACACACACACACACACAGAGTAAAATTGGGATGTACATAGGCACAGTAGAGTCTGTGAATTCTTCACCATTGTCAGCTGCACTTGCTGTTTAAATTAATATTCCTTCTTGTATATGGTAGACACCATTAACATCACACACCTACCTCTCTCTCTCTCTCTCTCTCTCTAGTTCCTGTCATACCCTTGTTCTAACTTGAAATACTAGAGAATGGCAAACGTTGAAATTATTTAACAATGACACATGCAGTTTCTTTCTTTCATAGCTGGCAAGTTGAATCCAAATGAGAGTTATCTGATAAGAGTTGTTACTAGTGGTGTTCCTCAGGGATCAGTCTTAAGACCTATCTTGCTTGTCAGTGACCTTGATACTAAAACTAGATATATTCTCATGAAATTTGAGAATGACGGTAAGGTAGGGGTATTCCAATATAAAAGAAGACGGGATTAGTATACAGAAAGATGTAGATAATGTTGTGGAATGGAGCACTGGAAGAGTTTAACAGTATGACGTGCAAAGTCATGTACTTGGGGAACAATAACAAGGTCTTCGGCTGTAAGGCAGGGGTGAACAAACTTTATATAACAGAGGAGGAGAGGGATCTAGGTGCACTGGTCAGATGTAGGATGACCATGAGCTACTAGTGTGAGGCAGCAGTGAAAAAGGCTAGCACTATTTTAGGCAGGGTATATTCAATAAAGACAAGATATTACTAGTATTATTGTACATGGCTTTTGTAAGGCCAAAGCCAATGCTGTGTGCTGTATTGGTCACCTGTGTTTAAAAAAATTATTTGAATTGATACAGGTACAAAGTAGGCTACTAAAATTGCTGAAGAAATTTAGACGTTTTATTATTAAAGAAGATTAAGGAGGTTGGCTTGATTAGCTTAACAAAATGGAGATTGAGAGGAGATATACCTTTTACAAGTAGATTTGCAGAGACAGTATTAGGGAAGAAGAAGAGATGTTGGGTTGAAAAACAGTGGTATAAGATCAAATGGTTACAAGCAGGCTATAGATAGATTTATATTGGAAATTAGATTCCTGACTATCAAAGGAGTGAAGTTTTGGGGTGGTTTTCCAAGTCAAGTAGGAACAGGGGCAAAGAATCTAAATTGCTTTAAGATTTAACTGGATACATTTATGGAAGGGTAGGGAGGTCTTTGGTCAACAGTCAGCACATACAGTATGTGGAATTTTGTATTTTCAGTCCTCATGTTGGGATCTCTAGGTGTCTGGCAATCCCATGCTTTAAGGCTTTTCCAGGTTGTCATGTGGGGCTGGATGTGTTTAAATCAGCAGGTCCGGATGATCTCCACCCCAGGGTGCTGAGGGAATTAGCAGGGGTCACTGTGGAACCGCTGGAACAACTTTACAAGCAGTAGTGGTGCTCTGGCCAGGTGCCAGAGGACTGGAAAGGGCAATGTGGTCCCCATTTTCAAAAAAGGGAGGAAGGAGGACCCAGGTAACTATTGGCCCGTTAGTCTTACCTCAGTCCTGGGGAAGCTCTTTGAGAGAATTATCCAGGAGCACATCTGCGAGGGACCAGCAGGGGAGATGATGCTCAGGGGCAACCAACATGGTTTCAGTAGAGGCAGGTCCTGTCAGAACAATCTGGTTGTCTTTTATGATCAGGTCACAAAAATCCTTGGACACAGGTGTCACAGTAGACGTAGTCTTTCTGGACTAGAAAGGCCTTTGACACTGTCTCTCACCCCATTCTCATTAAAAAACTAGGCAACTGTGGCATTGATGCCTACACAGTCAGATGGGTTGCAAATTGGCTAGAGGGCTGCACCCAGAGAGTGGTGGTGGATGGGTCATTTTTGACCTGGAGGGATGTGGGCAGTGGAGTCCCCCAGGGCTCGGTCCTCGGGGCCCGTACTGTTCAACATCTTTATCAGTGACTTGGACGAGGGGGTGAAAAGCACCTTGTTCAAATTCACGGATGACACTAAGATGCGGGGAGAGGTGGACACGCTAGAAGGGAGGGACAGGCTACAACTAGATCTGGACAGGTTACAGGGGTGGGCAGATGAGAATAGGATGGGATTCAAAACTGACAAGTGCAGGGTACTGCACCTAGGGAGGAAGAACCAGCAACAGACCTATAGGCTGAGGAACTCCCTTCCCATCAGCACAGAGGCAGAAAGGGATCTTGGAGTCATTATTGATTCCAAGATGAACATGGGCCGCCAACGTGAGGACACAGTCAGGAAGGCTAACTGCACCTTGTCATGCATCCACAGATGCATCACGAGCAGGACCAAGGAGGTGATCCTCCCCCTCTATGCGACATTGGTCAAACTGCAATTGGAGTACTGCGTCCAGTTCTGGGTGCTGCACTTCAGGAGGGATGTGGACAACATCAAGAGGGTCCAGAGGAGGGCCACTCGCATGGTCAGGGGGCAGCAGGTCAGGCCCTATGAGGAGAGGCTACGGGACCTGAACTTGTTCAGCCTCCACAAGAGAAGGTTGAGAGGGGATCTGGTGGCCGTCTATAAACTTACCAGGGGGACCAGCGGGGAATGAGAGAGGCCTTGTTCCCCCGAGCACTACCAGGAGTAACTAGGAATAACGGCCAAAAGTTGATCGAGAGTAGGTTCAGGCTAGACATCAGGTGGCACTACTTCACAGTCAGGGCAGCTGGGATCTGGAACCAACTTCCAGGGGAAGTGGTGCTTGCTCCTACCTTGGGGTATCCAGGAGGGTATACCTTGGAGGGTATACCTTGGGGTATACCAAAAGGAGGCTAGGCAATCACCCTGCTGGGGTCAGCATTCTTTCCTGCCCATGGCAGGGGGTTGGACTTGATGATCTGCTCGGGTCCCTTCTGACCCTATCAACTATGAAGCTATGAAATTCTTGAATGCTCTTTGCTTCTGGTGTGGAAGGGGTGGAGAGGGTTTGTTTTCTTTTGAATCATTGGGATGTTGGCCAGAGCTAAGACTGGGGATTTTTGACTTAAGGTATGCTGATGCTCCCACCGGTACTTAGACGATTCAAAGAGTTTCCTGGGTGGAGGGTCTTTCTCCTCTGCTTAGTGTCATATTGATCACTAAATCTGGGGCCCAGAATTTTTTTCCCTTAAGTCAGATTAGCAAAGACTTTGTGTTTTGTGGTGGTTGTTTTTTTCCTCTTTAGTTTGTGGCATGGTCCTTTTCTAGGTATATCTTATCCTTTTCTAAGTTAATATATTAACCATTTACATCTGTCATTGCTGTTCAGTGCCTTCATCTTCTCTGCTTTTTTACATTTGGTACATTGTAGGTTATTCTTGGTGTTTCTGGTTTTACATTCTGTAGTTGCATGTATGGATTTGAAGTGATGATTCTGAGGACTCCGTGAATAAATGGTTGCCTGTGAATGCAGATGACTAGACTCAATGGCCCAGAAGGCCCATTCCCCTCATAGGGCATTTATATACATACCTTTTCATGCTGCAATGCATCAGAGATCCAGCACATCCAAGCAGACTCAGTTAATCGAGTCTGCTCCACATACAAGCTGACATGCCTGGCTCTGCGTTGCATACATTTGTGTAAATGGCAAAATGCATATCAGCACTGGGGCAATGGCTATGGTGCATTTTTGAACTAAAACACCTTCGACGTGTTTTAGTTCAAAAGCGCAAAGCCTCCATTTTCTCAATGCTAACATGCATTTTGCTGTTTATACAAATGCATGCGATGCAGCACCGGGCGCTTTGAAGAATGCCCAGCACTGCGCCTCACGCACCGCTAAAAATGCCATACATTCCCACCTTCTTCCCATGGTCTTTGATAGGGATAACCTCCTGTCTCTTAGAGCATATTATACCATGATTAGCATTTCCTTTCTCTATTCCAGTTACTATTGCTAAATTTTTAATTTTGGAATGTCTCTGACTGCTTGTAGGTGTCAAGATATAAAACCAGAAGAGGAAAGCATGATTTTTGTGACAAAATGTCCATGTGATGAATGTGTGCCTCTAATCAAAGGTGCTGGGATCAAGCAAATCTATGCAGGAGATGTAGATGTCGGAAGAAAGAAAGCAGACATATCATACATGAAGTTTGGTGAACTTGAGGGTGTTAGCAAGTTTACAGTAAGTAGCTGAACCTATATTTTAATACCAAGCAGGCAGAAATGGCAGGAGTGCTTGCAGAGAGAGGCTAAAACAAATTTTACCCTCATATTGTACAGTTCTGGTTTCATCACAGTTCCATGATGTGGCAATTGCCTGTGCTCTGTCTATACTAGGGTTTAAACCAGCGCTGCTCTAGTGTGAAACCAGTGATAGGAAAACTACTAGGGGAGACAAAGCTTCAGAGGGTGTTTTGAGCAGAAACACTCTGCAATTCATAACCTGTGAAAAAGAGAAAAAAATCCACCATCTGGGAAGTAGCTTTGACAAGTTCCAAACAGGATCTTGTCCAGCCTTCTTTTGACTGGAAGATTGACTCTAAATGTTCCCAGGTGGCACTAGTTCTTTAAAATGGAGTCTTTGCAAGTATGTAAGTCGTGTGATAGACTCTTCCTTGACCCTCTCCGCAAAATACAGTATTTCTAGTAACTGTAGTGTGTCAAGAAAAAAATATAATATTACTTGCACCTCATTGGCTTTTACACGTTGTTAGTTTTGCTGTTGAACCTAGTCATCATACCGCTATCAAGGAGAGAAGCCAGGGCCGGTTCACATGGGAGAGGGGGTGAGAAACAGCCATGTAAAAGACTCTTTTATCCCATTGAGTCCCTCTACATGGAAGTGTACTCTGCAGAGTGAGACAAGGCGGGCAAAGGATAGGATTGGAAGTGTCCACTTCGCGTGATATCTTCTCCCCACAAACTTGCAAGTTCCTTTTTAGATACTATTTAGTCTATGAAATGACCTTAGCCATACTGTGTAATGTGCCCTCCCTTTCTTCCGCAAACCATCCCCTTCCTTCACTGAGAATATGGAGTAGGATTGCAACCACTGGAAAGAGACTCTGTGAGAGACCATTCTTGGAGGCACTATGGTTAGGGTGACCATATGTCCCATTTTAACTGGGACAGTCCCAGATTTCAGAGGCTGGTCCCAGCCAGCTGCTGAGAATTATAATGTGCATCCCAGAAATGTAGGGGTGTGAGGCACAGTCTGGCCAGGAGTCAAAGTGGTGCAGAGCACCTTGCAGGCTGGGCAGGCAGGCACCACTGCCTGCCTAGCATTCAGCCCTGCCTCTGATTTGTGAGAGTGCGGGGGAGAGAGGGAGGGCAGTGTCCTGGATTTCTGGGATTTCCATATGGTCAGCAGCCTAACTATGGTGGATAGAGTAAGGGATGGAAGGTGTGCTGTGGGGGTGGGGGCTGAACACCCAGTCTCTGTGTTCTAGTTCCTGTAAGTTTCCCCCAGTGTCTGGGTATTAGTTTCTTCTCCTGGGTACAGTTTATGCTTGGACATCTCTTATAGTGCAGTAGGTTTTTGCTTTCAAAAAGAAGTAAAAGAAAACAAATTTTGTGATTGTATTGTTCCAGGAAAGACAGTCCTCTTAAATTAAAGTCATGTAATAGGCTGCTGCTTTCACACAGCATGTTTTTCTTCTGGAATAAATGTAGTTTTTTGGTTGTTTTCTTTTTTTTTTGGCAGTGGCAACTAAATCCATCTCATGCTAGTGATCAAGAGGTCCAAGAATCTGCTGCCAGAGAAAGTAAGTATTTTTAGTACCATGTTTGAATAAGATGAATGTAATAAATATAACTAAATTTTAAACTCCTGAATTCCTGTAAGAATTGGTATTTTTCTTGGTCACCTGTCAAACTGTGATAAGAACAACCTGCATATTTAATTTTGTAAATGGATACCTCAATGGTAAGTACAAACTCATGCATTTTTTTTAAAAAGGCGTGCCCGTGCACACACTCATACTCATACCATTATAAATGAAGAGTACTGCTATTATTAAAATACAAAATATGCCAATTTTATTAAGCCAAGCTACAGGATGGGATTTTTGAAAAGTGACTAGGAACATTAAGTACTACCTTTTTTTTTTTCTGTGGTATCTAGTCTCCGAAGCTGTGCATGGTTTTGAAAAGTCCACCTACTGTCTTTGGTGAACCACAAACCCTATTATTTCTTTTAAATAATATTTGTTATTTCGTTTTATAACTAATTTCTATTACTTTTAATGGTAGCTCAGACTCAAATCTTTCAGTATGGTGTTTGCCACACACCCAGTCAAACTGAAGAGATGTACTAAAGGCATTTTCCAAAATGGGATTAAATTGATGTCATAATATGGCCCTTTTTGCATGAAATGCCACTGAGCCCTCAGAAGCCTTCTCAACCACAGGGTTGAAAACTCTGTAAAACAGAAATGAAACACATGTAATGCCCAAGGTACATATCGGATATCTTCCAACTAGCAACTGGGAACATGTTGGCCCATCCACACTAGATTCGTAACGAAGACTCTTGATTGATTTTTGCACTGTAATGGCAGAGTGATGACTAAACTGTAGTTATGGAGTGACCTTGATGTGAAACTTGATATATTTTTGGAGCTGTCTCCTCTTCAGCTTTTTTCCTCAGGAGTTCTGAGGCTGTATTATAAGGATATGACATCTGTGTCCAATAGCCATTACAGAATGCAAGAAACTTTTTGGCCCTGTATTTACCAGTGGTCAAACTGTTTTCAACTGCAGTTGTGTAGAGGTCCCAGGGCTCTCTGTGTTTGACAACCAGAACATTTTCCTAATGTCTGTTCCTCCAAAGTGGTGTCCTTGAGTTTTTAACTATTCCTCTATTCTGGGCCACTATCTTTTCTTAGTGCACTTCCCTTGCCATGGCTGTTGCTTAAGTGGAGTGTGCTCCTCCATCTGGAGAAGGGGAGGACTTCCTTAGCAAGCTCTAATCCTTACTGAAACTGTGTGCGCTACCCATTTCCAGGCCCAGGTATGAGAATCCCAGTGTCATCCACATGAGATTGTTTCTGCCTGCAATATCTATCTGTCAATGAGTAGATAAATACTGATTGCATATTGATTACAGTTTTGCAATCCAGTAATATGAAAACAAACAGGTAACTGGAGAAGTGTGGAGAGCATTGTAATGCCTCAGTTGGGGGCTTGAAGAAGATGAGAGAGGGAAAGTCTGCACAGCACTGAACAGAATTCAAACCCATGCATTAAAGCAAGTAAAAAGGAGAGACTGTGGCATGGAGTTTTTATATTTCCATCTCTCTGTGCTAATGGCTGTATAGAGTACTTGCACTGGCCTATCACCAGCAGTCTTTAAGTAAGTAATTCTCACCTGCTGTAGGATTTAAATCTGCTTAACCACACAGTGGCTCGTATGATACATCTGAGCATTTAAAAAATACATTTAGTATTATTGTAACATATCTTATGTTTTAGATGGTGTACAGAGAACATTGCCTGATGACCCACAGCACCAAAGCAAGAAGCTATGTCTTGGAAACCACTGATCAGTTACACAGGAAGCAGAAACATTAGGTCTCTGTGAGCCTTTTAAAGCACTTTTATAATCCAGCCTGCTTGTGCTGTCAAGTAAGGTTGGATTTTATTTATTAATTGTTGGAAAAATGATTTTAGAGTAAGTTTATTTATGAGGTCTTAAATGTTTTGTATAGTTTTTAATTTTAGACATTTATAAAGGATTTTTTCCCTGTGAAAATGCTGCTTAGATATTACATGCAGAACAAATTTGGTGGCCACTATTAAGATTGCTTGGCTGATCATTATGAAGTGAGAGCTTCCAGTCATCAGATCTGAATCATCTCTTTGCTAATGGGACAGAAGAATCTAGTGAAATAACATCTGGTTGGCTCATGACATAAATTGAGGAAATTGGTTTCAAAACTCAAAGCAATCAGATTGTAGTTTTGCAGAAATAAAGCTTGATTACTGAAGTGCTTGTGGAAGTCCCACAGAGCACAGTGTCAGAGACAGTAAAATAGAAATAGTTACTAACGTGTATGTTCCTTTCAATTCTGTGGTACACTGAATATGAAGTCAATGGATTACAGTGTTCTTGCTTGATAAATGACTCAGCCCTATTCTCCTCTGTGCCTCTGCCAGCTACATCAGCAGCCAGAGCTATTATTCTGTGACCACATTCTCTTGCGTTGATGTCATTTTCTGTGGATATTTTTTTTAATGTACCTCAATTGAATGGTCTTGAACAGAAATCAGTGTATCACTTCTAAAAGCTGAAAGTACGTTTGTGAGACTTCAGCTCTTGGATGAGACTCTCGGTACCTTGCATGTTATACACTAGGATGCTCACTTGTCAGGTGGCAGAGGAAACGTTGATAATTTCATAAATAATATCATAGGAGCAGATTTGTTCCTGTGGGAAACTCACTGGCTAGAAAGTGACCAGATTTCTTGATGTCATTTTTGATACATTGATTTGCAACAGTGAGATAAAAGGGGAGTTTTGGATACCAACACTGTAGATAACTAACACTGGAATAAGGAACATAAATTAGCAAATAGACTGAACTTGCAAACTCATCTCATTGGCTCTGAAGGAACACCGTGTAACTCCCAGCTGGCAGACATTTGCACACTGTGCCAAAATACAAGGGCATCCCCAGTAATTTTGGTCATGGGGTAATCCTCCCCACATCCAGATTGTTTGTGGTTCAAAGATGCCTCGTGATAAAGGTTCCAAGATTTTCTTTCCCTTCACAGCACCCACTTGCAAACTCCTAAAACCTTTCCCTTTTCCACTGGTACTAGGATATGCAAGTGGCTTCCCCCACATGTAACAGGAGTACACAAATCCTTTAGTCTGTGCTCCTCCTCCTCATTCTTCTCTTGAGCCATTGGGAAGGGTAAGTTCTTGGGAATCAAAAGCCAAGTCTCCTGCTCAGTATTGCTGAACACTGGACTGCTGCAGCAGTCAAGGGCATAAAAAAGGAATACAAAAGACGTGCCCTTAGGAAGAGAGGAGTGCATTTCCCAGCTCCAGCATTGCAATCTCCACTACAGCTACACACATTAAGCAAAGATCCCTGCCTCTATCGCCTTTGCTTTCCAGTGACTCTGAATATTCTGAAATCTATTCCAGGACTTTCCCCTTTTGTTGTCCCTACAGTTGCATGATGGCTTCATGCATAGAACCTCATGGCTTTCTCCTGGGCTGGGCAAAGGGCTGGCACCCATTAGACAAGAGAGACCAGAGAGTGTATACACAGCCTTCATTCATGTAGCATTTCTGTCACTGTTATACTGTTTGTCAGAGGGGCCCCGTTCTTGATTTTTAAGGGATTGGGTCTAGTCTCTACAGCAGAGCTTTCCAAACTTTTCATGTTGGTGACACACTTTTTAGACACGCATCATTTCGCGACACAGTAATTCAGTTCCGGGGGAGGGGCCAAGGGAAGCAGACGCGAGTAAGGGAGCTCTGCGGTGCCCTTCCGCAAAATTTTCTGCATTTCATGCGACACACCTACACACTGCCGCCGACACACTAATGTGTCGCGGCACACAGTTTGGAAAGCTCTGCTCTACAGTCTGGTTCTGGAGGCTGTGGTCACTTCTTGTGAATCCTGTGGTACGAAGTATGGCCATGATTCCTTTTAAGTTTACACTGCCTGCTTACTCTACGTTTATGGACTTAAAGCCTTCCCCATCCGCCTTGCACAACTACTCAGCTCTTGTTCCCTTACATGGCCACACAGTTTGGGTACCTTAGTGGCTGCCATTTCCTTTCAGTCTGTTTTAAACATCTTAAAGATATTCTGGAAACTGGCAAATAACTGAATGTTGGGTGGAGCTCTCTGCTGCTAACATGAGGGTGTGACTAACTTTTATATACTGTTAGTTCATTTCACTAAGTAAGGAGGCTGCAACTTCTGTTCATAAAGCACACACTTGCCTTCCTTACTATGAGGCACAGGTGTCAAACATCTGGCATGCAGAGCCCTACCATCCAGTGCTACCCCTATGTATGATCAGATCCACACTGGGCACGATGTACTTCTATGGTGCACGGCTGGTCTGCAGGCTGGATTGGGCCCACAGACTCCCTGCCCTCTCCTTCCTCCCCTAGCATACCAGATTTGGCAGCTGGTCCAGCCCAGAGTGACCAGAATGGGCATCGTGTGCAGCAGAATCCAGCTGGAGCAACCACTGCACTGCACACAGTGGCCACCCTAGCCAGGTTGTACCACATGCGGCACCCACTCTGGGATGTCCACCATGCGCAGTGCCTGCTGCAGCTGGTCTGGGAACTATGCTGCATGTGGTGTTTGTGGGTTGCGTGCAGCACAGTTCTCAGGCTGGCTGGAGCAGGCACTGCATGTGGCACAATCCCAGAGTTGCCAAATTGGGCACCTTGTGTGGTGCAGTCCTTCCAGGCTAGCCACCACATGCAGCATGGCTGCCACTCCAGCCAGATTGCTGCATGCAGCACCCGTTCCAGTCACTCCAGGATCCATGCTGCATGTAGCACGGGTCCCTGATTGGCTGGTGCAGCCACTGGATCAGGGATGCTGATTAGGGGGATGGGGTCTGTGGGCCCACTCTGGCCCACAGACTGGCTCTACACCACTCATCTGGCCCTGCAGGCCCTGCTCTAAGGACTACCTTTATTGGGCGTGTGGTTCAGGGAGAGGTAAGGGTGGCAGAGTACCCCTGTTGAGACCTCTGACCCCATGCCAAGCATTTGCACAACAGAAGGAAGCTGTGATATAAAGAGATGTGGATGTGGATGTGTGATTGCATTATTTTATGGGTACATTTCTAAGCACTAGAATAAACCGCCAAGGTTTTGAGCTCTGAGCTGAACAGACAGCTCTCTTTGTCTGTACCCTAGCCTAAAGGCTTCACTAAGGCCTGCACAAATCCAGTTTCAGGCTGAGCGCTTAAGCTGCTGTTCTGGATACCATATAAATGTCATCATCACCAGGAAACTTTTCTAAATAAACATTGCACAGTTTGACCTGTTATAAAAAGTTTATTTTTTCAGTGCATAATATTGGACTTTGCTGCAAGGAACTTAAACATTCTGACTGTAGTAGGACAGTATTTAAAGAAAAACAGATTTTCTTGTTTAATCATAGGCATTCTGCTTCAACTTGCAAGTCTCAGAAAAGGAAAGAATGTCCTAAGATAAGTGAAGTTACCTAATGTGTTTAGACTTAACTATTTATCCATATTAAAAGGACACGGTCAAGGTTAGTACAATTTGATCTACCTTTTCATCCATGAAGTGTGCTGACTTGTAATTTAGGCACAGAGAAAATCAGTAAAGGTCTGATGCTCCTTCAGGTTTTACATAGATTTAAGAAACCCATAGTGCTAGCAGGATATTTGTAAGGAAACCAATTGTGCATGTTCCTTTGGCAGTTAACGGTTCCTTTAAGTGACTAGAGTTCCTATGCAGCATGGTGATTAGCATACATAAGCAGGAAAAAAGGCATCAAGCAGTGTGTACATGAAATAAAGATGTTATCTGTGTTCTTTCTTAAAATGAAGAAAACTTCAGCAAGGAGATGCCTCTAGAACACAGTGGGTGTTTACTTCTTGAGAAGTTACTCTAAACATTAAGCCTTTATTTAAAAAAAAAAAAAAAACCTTTTTAAAAGGGAAAATCTGGATTTTTTTTTGCACAATGTTTTGTTGCGAAAAGGGTGGTACATTTTTATAATTGTTAATACAAAATGTGTGGGGCCTGCGTTTTTACAGCATTCTGTCTTAATGCTCCTGCCTATTCAGTCTCTGGCTCTTAGGCTTAAGTATGTCTGGTCTTGCACAGGAAAGCCCATTAAAGGTCTACCAATATGCCTGAACCCTCTATGTAGCTACAGTGTGCACGGTCTGTGCTTCCCGAATCATAGCCCATTTAGATGCTGCTAAATGCTTTATCTAATGAGAAAAAGATGTCAGGAACCTGCTGAAGTCTCCTACAGCACTTACCTTGAGAATGTATTCCAGGAAGCTTCTCTGTTGTATGCAAATATTATATATATAATTTTAGCACATCCTATAATTGAGCTAAATAAACATTACAATTTTACATTTTATATTAAAGTATGACATTTGAAATTTGAGCTTTTTTTGATCCTGTCTCTTCATCTTCAATACATGTTAGTTGTATTGAACCTGTTCAGCGGAATTATCTTTTTTTTCAGTGTCTACCATCTAGCAAAGCATATCCTTTGCTAATAAACGATTCAAGTATTTAAATGGCTTTGACTTACAAAGGACAGCGTTAACAGCTTTGAAGCATAAACACCACTTTCTCTTTTTTGGGGAGAGAGCAGGATCAGTGAACTCATTTGTCCCTTATAACCTGAATCTGTCACCATCTTGTGGCTAGATTGAGGCATTTGTCTCATCCTGAGGGTACTGAGTCCAGGCAGAACTTTAGTGGATTAGTAGTACAAGCAGTCCTCGGATTTATGACACAATTGGTTCCTGAAAACTGCATCTTAAGTCGAAACGTTGTAACTCAGAACCAATTTTCTCATAAGAAACAATGTTATAAATGGGGGATTGGTTCCTGAACCAAGGCCCGATACCCTATTTTCACCAAAAATACCCCAGAAATTTGTACTTGATCAATTATAAATGAGTAATATAGCTACATTAGTGTATTTATATTGTAAATAGCAATCATACTGATTTGGAAGGACTTCTTTGAGGTGACTTTACTGGACTTTTTGGAAAGGCTCTTGGTTGGACTTTTTGAAGGGTTCTTGGCTGGAGTCTTCTCAGAAGTCTTGGCTGCGGGTTTTTTTGAGTTTTGGCTGCTTTCTTAAAGAAAATGTCCAAGGAAGTTTGGACGGATGTTCTCCAGGGAGATGAGCAACGCAGCCAACTTGTTCACTGGCATGGCATTGCATCAGATCAAGTGTAAAGTTGAAACTGACATTATAAAGTTGAAACAGGGTGTCAATTTATAAATGTAAGTGTGAAACATTGTAACTCGAAACATTGTCAGTCAAGGACTAAATGTAGTCGTATTTGCATGTGTGTGCGTGTTCATATATATCCATAGATTTTGTATAGTTCTCCTCCGCCATGCCAGTAGTTATGAATACTTGCCATTTAATTCATGACAGTAACTCAGAAAGCTTAATTCTTTCCCCCTTCTCCATCTCTTCCCCCCTGTCTGATCCCATGGGCTGATCTCCCTCTTTCAACATGTGCAGTCTGCAATGTGACTCAGAAGAAGGAACTGAAGTAGCATTGGCTTAATTTGAAAAATATATATAATATAGTTCCCAGCAGGAAATGTTGAATATAATACATTTACATAACAAAATCCAAAAAAGAATAAACTTAAAGGAACAAGATATGTTGGCCCCACATATCTTTTAAATATATTTTCAGGGCTGGATAAAAATAAAGCCCCCTAGTATAAAAAAGGAAAGCAGTGATTTACTTTATGGCCCTTGTGGCAATGTAAAATGGCTTGAGGTGAGTTTGAATGTAATATACCCACAGTAAGGCCCCTTTATGCCACTCAGTGAGAGGAGATGCAGGTGAGGAGAACCTAGAACCACTGCTCCCTGGGCAAGTGGCCTGGGGCTGAAACATAGGCAGACCCCCCC